CCACCACCCCGCCCCCTCCCCGGGACCCCCTCAGCCGTGAGTCCCAGATGGAGGCCACCGGTGGCGATGAGCTGGAGGCCGTGAAGAAGTACTTCAACACCAGCGGCTTTGAGCGGTGGAACAAGATCTATGGAGAGACCGATGAGGTGCGGCCCGGGCCCCTCGCGCCCTTGGCACATTCACGCAGCCGTGGAGACGGGCTGTGCGGCGGCTGCATTGGGCTGCTGCTCGCTTGTTTCGCCGGCACGGACAGCAGTGGCGGCCGCTTGCGTGGCGCGGCGCGCCCGCCCAGCTCGAATGCCCCCGGCGGCAGCGGACCGGACCGTAGGACGCTGTAAACACGTCCAGGTGCGACCATCTCCTCCGTCTTCAAGGGCCGACCTGATGGCTGCTGCCTGATCGCAATTCGCATCATCCGCTGCGACCAGGTGAACAAGGTGCAGCTGGACATCCGCCAGGGCCACGCGCAGACGGTGGACAAGGTGCTCAAGTGGTTTGACGAGGAGGGCGGCCTGCAGGGCGCGTCGGTGGCGGACTGCGGCTGCGGCACGGGTGGGTGCGGGCCGGAGCTCCGAATGGTGTCGCGCGCGGCGGGCTGCCGCCGCAGCGGCTGCTGCCGTCTGAAGGGCTGCTGAATTGCGAGGCGTGCGTCCGGGATGGGTGGCTGGGCCGCCGCTGGACCCAAGGCTGCTGCTTGCTCAAGCGGCCTGATGGATCACGGAGTCGAGACGATTGGCGGTCTGCTGAGCACGCCTCATGCCCTGCTGTGCACTTCGCCGCCGCCTCCATCCCCGCCCCTCCCTGCAGGCAGCCTGGCGATCCCCCTCGCGCTGCGCGGCGCCAACGTGAGCGCGAGCGACATCAGCAGCAGCATGGCGTCGGAGGCGGCGCGGCGGTACGAGGCGGCGAAGGGCGCCGAGCCCAAGGGCAACGCTGTCTTTGAGGCCAAGGACCTCGAGTGAGTGCAGGCGGGGTGATGCAGCCGGGCCTGGATTACAATTAGACAAGGAGCGTTGCAGCGCCCCGTGGCTGCAATCGGAGAACTGCTGTGTGCATGCTTGCATCGTCGAGGCAGTAGGCAAGGGGGGCGCAGGCGCCGGTGGCGAGCAGCAGTGCGTGCGGAGTGCGCTTGCTAATGTGTGGTTGTCTGTGGGCTGGGTGCGCCTGTCATGGTGCGCCGCACGTCTGTCAACCACCTGACGCCGCTCTTCATGTCACCCGCCGCACCGCCCGTCACCAGGTCTGTCACCGGGCGGTACGACACCGTCACCTGCATTGATGTGATGATCCACTACCCGCAGGACAAGGCTGACGCCATGATCTCCCACCTGGCCTCCCTTTCGGACCGCCGCCTTGTGGTGTCGTTTGCGCCCAAGACACCCTACTACTCCGTTCTCAAGCGCATTGGGGAGCTCTTCCCGGGCCCCTCCAAGGTGAAGCTAGGGGCAGGGTGGGAGGGGTTTGGGTCGTATGTCCTGAGTGCAGGAAAGCTGCTGTTGCCGGTTTTTGTGGACCTTTGGTGTCGCTGGCGGCAAGGTTTGCTCCTGGCAGCGTGCGCGCGGTAGGTTTGTCCCATGAACACTTGCACGCACTGGTGCCAGCTGGCCGGTCAGTCCGCCTGATGCGAGTCCTGGTGGCTCTCCCCCCCCCTGCAGGCCACGCGCGCATACCTCCACGCTGAGGAGGATGTTGAGGCGGCGCTCAACCGCGCGGGCTTCAAGGTGACCAAGAGGGAGATGACCGCCACCTCGTTCTACTTCAGCCGCCTGCTGGAGGCCGTCCGCAGCTGAACACACATCAACACAAATTGGTTTTCGATGACCGGAAGCGCAGCTTGCGTCAGGAGAGCCCACTGGTGGAGGTGGTTGGTGCAGTCTTGCCCTCTAATCGGTGTGTTGTGTGGAGCGCGGCGTCAGGGTTCGTCTCACCTTTACGTGAGCTGAGAGGAGGCATCATGACCCTTTTTGATTATGTTTTGATGATGCTGCTATTTGTTGATGTCGCCTGCATCCCCTGGTTGGTGCTGCTCTGGTAACTGCCGTGTTTGCCAGCGTTCGCAGCATCACACAAAATGCAGGTCGTCCTTCGGCAGACAGACGCTGAAAGCAGCACGACCTTTGCTTCCCGCAGCCACAGCAGCCATGGAGCCCCACCACCTTGCAGCCCAGGCGGCCGCACACAAGCCTTGCTGATGCATCATGGCCCCCCGGGCTGTCATGTTTTGTCCCAAGTGTGGAGTGACTCTGCTGCATCTCAAATTGCTTGCTTCAACTTGGAACACCCATGCATAAGGATCAAACTCACCCCTCAGCAGCCAGTCTATCAGAAATGCTACATCACAAGGTGCGAGGCATGCAACAAGCCCAGATGCACGTGGTCTTCTGCCAAGTTGCAGCATCCTGGTAGCTGGGAGGTGAGTCCGCAGCGGATTTTTTTTTCAGCCGCGTACACTGGCATCGTCAAAATGCCATGACGCGCCCACGATTCGATCTGAGGGGCTGCTATACAGGGGGCCGCTGCGGGCCCCCCGCGTCCCTCAGAGAGGTCGTTGGGGATCGTTTGACAGCGGGCGCGGAGCCGCCCCTGT